TCCTCCTCCTCCTCCTCCTCCTCCGCCCTCCTCCTCCTCGCGCCAGGTTGATTTTAGTATCGTTTGACCGATCCCCATCCCCAGCGGCGTGGCCTGGGCCCCACTGGCCGAATTACCCCCCTAGATGGGGATGTGGGCCCTTCCCTTCGGGTCTCGAGGGGTGCATCCCTAACTGGGGGGGGGGGGGGAATTTGGCAGGGATCTCGAAGGGAATGAGGATGGGGATGGGGGCCGGTTAAAGGATACAGATGATTGGAGAGGACACGCGAGAGGACACCAGACCCTTCCGAGGGCCACACTGCCATGGGCATGTAGAAGGCATGGGTCGCCAAACACAGGACGCAAGAGCACCCTTGACTGGGCAGGTCGACCTACGAATCGCGTTAGGTGGGGCATGTCCAGGGGAAAGAACAATGACATAGGCATAAAAACTGGGAGTTCCGCGCGGATTTCTCGGATCGGCACTGGAGACCCCTGGCGGCGCACTCCAGCGCCGCCCCTGGCGCGCTCCGCGCGCCAAGGAGCGGGGCACAGCGCCGATCAGAGAAATTCGCGCGGACCTCCGAGTTGTTATGTTTACGTCATTGCTTGTTTCCATAATGTCCTCCTACAGGCGAAGAATGGAAGAAAACAGGTGGCACGCGTGCCCTGGCTCTTGCACCAGGGAGCTGCGAGGGACAGGAGGCTGTCGCCTCCTTTCTCCAGGAGTTTCCTTCCGTGGCCAGGGGGGGAGGACGAACGACGACCGAACGAACGAACGAACGAACGAACGACGACGACGACGACGAAATAAAGAGGTCCGAGCTCTAGAACACAGCTGTGCAAGAGAATAATCAAACAAAAATCGAAAATAGCCAAAAGAGCACGAGAAATCGTTACCAGGCCCTGTAGAGGGACGTGCCCGACTTAAGCCTCGTGCCGCAGCACGTACAGCGCGTCCACGCCGTCTGCATCCGCGGGGATGCCGATGATCCTCAGAGCGCGTGTCAGCGCCAACGTGTGCCTCTCCACAAAAGCACTACAATACGACGCGGGCGGCTGCACGGAGTGCATGCTATCGGCGGAGCCTCCGTGAGGGAAGGGCCGACCGAAGGGCCTATCTCCTCTGGAGTGTCCGTTGGTAAAGACGGTAACAGCGAATGAAGGACGCTGATGAAGGCTTTACCCTCTTCCACAAGTCCGTCAGTCATGTCTGCATGCCAATACCTGCCAGCCGAAGGGGGGCAGCGGTACTTTTTACGTCGCAGCGCCGCAGAGGCAGTCCGCACGCGCATTCAGGCGGTCCGGACAACGGAGAGAGCAAACTAACCTTAGGTCGGGAATGTCCTTCTACAGGCGGATTTGGGACGAAACATGTTATTAAAAAATCCCTGGCAAAAACTACATAATAATCAAATTATCCCGGCAAAGCAACCTAACAGCGATGTGTAGAAGCATATCTGAAAGCATTCCCCTTAAGATTCAGATGAAAATCCAGTTGTAGAATTCTGCTGTTCTCGCAGTCGTAGTCGCATTCTCGATTGCTGGACGCAAGCCGGAACGGCCCAACCGATGGGCAGCTGGGCCGCCGCTCGCCTGCTTCAGCCTCAGCCTCAGTCTGCCTTCAGCCTCGGCCTCAGCCTCAGCCTGCCTCAGCCTCAGCCTGCATCAGCCTCAGCCTCAGCCTCAGCCTGCCTCAGCATCAGCCTGCTTCAGCCTAGCCTCAGCCTGCCTCAGCCTCAGCCTCAGTCTGCTTCAGCCTCAGCCTCAGTCTGCCTTCAGCCTCGGCCTCAGCCTCAGCCTGCCTCAGCCTCAGCCTGCCTCGGCCGCAGCATCAGCCTGCCTCAGCATTCAAAATGTGGCCAGGAATGGAGTTCTGGGAACTAGAAGAACACGAAGTGGCCTACAGTTGGCATTCAAAATCATCCCCAGGAATGGAGTTCTGGGAACTTGAAGAGCACGAAGTGGCCTACAGTTGGCTCCGGGCATCCAAAATGTGGCCCGGGAATGGAGTTCTGGGAAGTCGAAGAGCACGAAGTGGCCTACAGTTGGCTCCAGGCATCCAAAATGTGGCCCGGGAATGGAGTTCTGGGAACTCGAAGAGCACGAAGTGGCCTACAGTTGGCTCCGGGCATCCAAATGTGGCCCGGGAATGGAGTTCTGGGAAATAGAAGAGCACGAAGTGGCCTACAGTTGGCTCCGGGCATCCAAAATGTGGCCCGGGAATGGAGTTCTGGGAAATGGAAGAGCACGAAGTGGCCTACAGTTGCATCCGGTTATTCAGAATGTGGCCTGGGAATGGGGTTCTGAGAGGTCGACGAGCACGAAGTGTGTGACTGTTGGTGAAAAACGAGCCCGGCACAGGCCCGGCCGGCAACTCCCAACGCCTGCCCGGACCCCCCTGTGAAGTGATCTGTGAGCTCTTTTGGGTCAACTAGAAACCTATCAGTCTTCGCTGTTAGGTAAGAACAATCAAAAAATCGTCCCCAGCCTATTCCCTACCTAGGCTCTGCCTAGAAGGGTTCTTACTCTCTGGGCTAAAGGGCCGGGCAGTGGAAAGCGCCCCGGGCGGTTCCCCCAGTATCCGCCCCGCGGTTCCCCCAGTTACGTCCCCTTATCTTAGTGTTGCTTATCTCGTCTTAGCTTAGCTTATGCCATGTTAGCTTAGCCTAGCTTCATCTTAGCTCAGGTTTATCTTAGCTTAGCTTACCTTCATCTTAGCTTCGCTGAGCTTTAGCATAGCAGAGCACAGCATAGCATAGCATAGCATAACATAGCATAGCGCAGCATAGCATATCATAGCATAGTCCAGCATGGCATAGTATAGCGCAGCATAGCATAGCATAGCATAGCTTAGCATAGCATAGCACAGCGCAGCATGACATAGACATAGCACAGCGCAGCATAGCATAGCTTAGCATAGAAGAGCATGTCATAGCACAGCATAGCATAGCATAGCGCAGCATAGCATAGCATAACATAGCATAGCATAGCATAGCATATCATAGCATAGCGCAGCATAGCATGGCATGGCATAGCATAGCATAGCGACTAATGCTGCTTTCCTAGGGGCTCCACCTTCTAGGTAGGGTCGCACTGGGGTAATGTTTGTTAGTATTTCTGAGAATTCCCTCTGTAGAGGGACATGCCCGACTTAAAACTAACTGGTGACAGAGGGAGAGGGGAGACAGGCGGAAACGGCTGCGAGGGCGGAGGGAGGGACAGCGGCACAGCAGAGAGCAGAAGAGGCACGGGGATCATTCACAGAGCCGCCCTCGACCCCCGACGTCGTGATTTTTTCACTTCGTCGACCCCTTCCCCGGGATCAGTTCTTCATCCCGACTCGACTCAGGACGACAAACCAGGGCCCGGGCAGGGTTCTCCCGGAGCCCAGGCAGCGCTCCGGGAGCCCTGCCCGGGCCCTGCCCGCGCTCCGGGCAGGGCTCCCACGCGATTTCTCCGCAGCGCGAACGGCTGTCGGCGACTCCTAAGGGTGTGGCTTGCAAAAGGTGTGGTTTACGACTGGCACCCTGGAGGACACCCTGGGCGGCGGGCGGGGACCTCGATCGAGTTCTCCGCCGCGCCGCGAGGAGGCCCGACGAGGACGGCGTCGTACCCCCCAGGCCCCAACGGCGCCGATCGCAAACCAAACCCCGGCGTAACCACACCCTTTGCAGTCGCCGAGGCTGGGCCAACGCACGTCCTGAGGATCGTCGAGGCTGGGCTGGCAGAGGCCCAGCACGGCCCAGCAGAGATTCGTGGCCAAGGCCGGGGAGCCGCCCGCAGGGCTGCCGAGGGCCCCCGCCAGGGCCTGGCCCTCGGCGCCGCCCGGGCCCAGCAGGCTGGGCTCCGAGGCCGCGCCGGGCGGCGGCTGCGCCTCTAAGAGCCCGAAGAATACAAGCCACCACCACGTCGATTCCTCCTCCTCACCTTACCCTCCCTCCTTCCTCCTCCCTCCTCCTCCTCCTTCCTCCTTCCTCCTCCCTGCCTCCTCCTCCTCCGCTTGCCAGATCCGGTACATCTGAGCCTTCCGCCGGTTTTCCGCCCACTTCCGCCGGCGACACAAGAGCGCCGAAGGCGGGGCCGTGTCTGGACCACGACCCACTTTTTGCACGATTCGATCCGACACTACCCTCCTCTGCCTCTCCTCTCTCCTGGGAGGTGGCGGGGATGAGGGTGAGGGCAAGGGTCAAGTTAGCCAGCTCGAAAAAGCTAGAGGGTTCCGTCCACTCCCACCCGCCCTCCCACAACATAAGAAGCAAGTGCGTCGCGTCCGACGCCCGTCGCTCATCTTATATCGCGGGCGGCAAGACGTTCAGCGCGCGACATGAGCTGCGTCCTACTCCTGCCGCGAATTGAGCAACGTCGACGAAAAAAGGACGCGCGCGATGTACGCCGCGACCCACTCCGGCCTCTCATGTTACATCGTCGGCGACAACATGTCCAGCGCGCGAAGCGTGCCGCGTCTCATTCCAGCCACGCGCGTTGCACCGCCAATCGTTTCGTTCCTGCCGCGCATGGAAGAGTCGCGAGCCCATGGAGCGACGCGCCCAGTTCGAGTCAGGGGCGGGCAGGAGCAGCAGGAAAAGTGGAGGGCGCGCAGTCGAGTACAGAACGCTTCGGGTCCCCAGGACGCCCACGACCCAGCCGAAGCCTCACGGCCACGCCGAGAGGACCCGAGAGGGAAAGCCCAGGGCCGAGCGAAACAAACGGACGACCGCGGGCCCCCAGAGAATCAGAAATATGGAATTCAGATATGGAAATCAGTCCAAGCCATTGAACGGCGTCGTCCTGGACCTGGAACCCACGAGGGATGGGGAGGGGGGGGCCTTGCCACCCTACCTCATGCTGGAGACTCCTGAGGCCTCGTCGGTTCCTCGAAAAACTGGAACAATGGCGACACCGCCACCCGACTGCGGTCATCTCAGGTGAGTGAAGCCTACAACACCTCACGTCGCGGCCTCCGCGCAACGACGGATCGCTCGGGCCGCGCAGGCCTTCAGCAGCTGGGCCAGCTGCCGTCGCCTTGCGCCGCGGGCGCCTGCCCACCGCAGGCGCGCGGTCGCCCAAGGCGTCGGGCTCCGCCTGCACGTTGCCGATCCAGGCGGCGACCTGCCGCGTGGCCTTGAGCAGCTTCTTGTGCTCGTCGTACGCATCACCAAGGACGGCGCGCAACTGGGTGCCCCTCTTCGCCGCGACGTCGGCGAAGTCATTCCCGATCTTGCGGGCGCTGTCCCCAGCTTCGACGCACGTCTGATGGCCCTCGACACACGTGATCTGGAGCAGATCCGAAAGGCCACCCATGTCCTCGAGGGCGCGCCACAGCTGGCGCCAGAGGTCCGCGCTGTCACGCCTGGCCCGCGCGCAGCAATCCTTGCCAGATGCAAGCGACTCCACGAGGCCCAGGCGCCCACGTGTGATGGCGATGCCCCAGCCAGCGCGACTGGCCTCTGGCCAGTACAGTGGGCTCTGAGCGGAGCCGCCCGTGTAGACCACACCCGCGACGTCCACGCCCTGCCCGCCCACGCAGCACCACCAGCGCTGCGCGTCGAGTGGCGGTGGGATGTCGGGCAGCATAGCGCGAGGACGCAGAGCACGTGTAAAGAACATATCATTGACTTCCGCTCTGTTCGCCATGTCACGACATTCCTGATCGACAACTAGCCTTCTCATATCATCAGACTGAGGGCAGGACCAAAATCTGCGATGTAAATCACCACGAGCACCACAAACCAGACATTGAGAGGAAGCTGCGAAGCCCATCTTGCACAAACGATGTTGGGACCATTGAGCTCCAATAACTGTCAACCGTAGTGCACCACGCAACCTGGACGAGAGATTCCAAGTGGATGGCTCGGGCGGCATGCGCATCATGGCGGCGATCGGCTCGACCCAGTAGCCTCGTGGATCCCGAGGTGGTGAAGGGCGTTCCGATCCATGCTCGCGACGATTGGCCAATTCCTCCCACTTGACTGACTTATAGCTGCCCCTTGCCATGGTGCGAATCACTGTGGGTGCAATATCTGACAACTGTAGCTGGATGCCGTTCTCCGTCTCCCAGTGCACTGCTGAATGCGGCCTCCATCCCAGTCGCCGAATGTTGAGGAACAGCACCTGCGGGCCCCGCGATTGAGCTCCATGGCGTCGTCGCCGAAGCAAGTGCAGCCGATTGAACTCGCCGAGCCTGGTGAAGGACATCCAGCGAGATCATCCGATCAAAGACAAGCTGGGCCCAGGTAAAGATGTGATCGACCACCGCCATCGAGCCCGGCATTCGGCGGGGCGCATCCTCGAGCAGGGAGGCAAGCCACGTAGAAGACGACGTAGGTGTCTTGATCCATACTGCGCGTACCAGGCGCGCCATGGCGCTGACTGTAGCGGGCGGCGCGACAACAACATGGGGCCCGTAGGTCATGCCAGGAGCGAGAGAAGGGCGCGCGCTGCGAGCCAGCTTCGCCATACCCTTCAGGCGCCTGAAGCGCGGGATGCGGACCTTAATCTTCCGAATGCGCTGGTGGACCTCGGCGCACTCGAGGCGGCCCCCTGCGCGGCACTCCAAGCCCGAGATGCTCAGCTTGGTGACCGATTGGAAGACGCGCTGGGCCAAACGCTCGGCGACTGACCTGGCGAGGGCTTCGGTCGAGCCGAGGATCCTGGCCTTACCCCTGGCGACGCGCAGCTGCAAGGCCTGGAGGACCACCGCGAGGCGCGCCCTCACCGAGACCGCGACGTCCTCAATGAGACAGCGCTTCATCATGATCTGCAGCGTGATGTCATCGGCACAGGTGTCCAGCGCGCGAGGGATGGCCCCAATGGACGAGCTGTAGATGTCGAAGGGCAACAGCATGACGAGCTGGAGCACAAACATCGCCACCGAGCACCCTGGCAACACTCCCTGCATGGCCTTCACCGCGCAGGAGCAGGCGGTCCCCCATCGGACGCGCCCGGGCGCGGCTTACATGATCAGCACAGCCCGCAGGATGGCAAGCGGAAAATTGATCCGCTTGGCTGCGTCAACGACCCTACGCCAGACGACCCTGTCGGAGCACTTGCTGATGTCGACCATGGTGGTGATGATGGCGTCGTCGTCCCGTCCGTCGGCGGCCTCCGCGTAGACCGCGGTGCGAACGCCGACGTCGATGGTGGATCGCCCTGCGCCGAGGGCGAAGGAGGGCCTCGAGTACGCGGCTGCCCACCTTCTGACGTGCACGATTCTGATCTTGGCGTAGATCCAGTAGACTGATGGTAGCAGCACGATGGGTCTGAACCCACCCGCGGGTTTAGCGAGCTGCGTCACATGCATCATCATAATGGCCGTGGGCCAACGGCCCAACATTCCGCAGCCCAGATCAGGCAAACCATCATCGGAAGGGCATCATCGGCAAGGAGAGAGAAGGCCCTGGGTGGTAGTGCATCTGTTACAAGTCCATTTCTCCAGCGAAACGACTCAGCTGATTGCGCACTTCAGATACAGCTGGGACAGGGATTGACTTGACGGGAAGGGAGCTGGTGACCGAGTACAGCTCGTCTGTGCAATCTGCCAAGTGGTTGACGTCGCACTCGCTGGTGCCATGGTCGTCCTGAGAACCGTCGGACACATCTGTAAACAGCTGGGCCCCGGCGGCAGAAATTGAGACCCTGTCGGCCTGCCATATGTCGCTCCAAAAGTCCACCTGGTTGTCCGCCACCGCCTGAAGGAGGGAGGAGCGAACGCCGAAGACGTCAACTTCGTTGTGGGCCCATCCCTTCGACTTCGCCACACCGAAGATGGGGGCGGCGCCCTGACTAACGCGCCCTGGGCCCACCTGTGGAAGCTCTGAACCCTCTTGGACGCTGCCCGATGTTCGAGACGCTGTGCGCGGTCCTCCACGACGGCCGCGCACGCCTGCAAGACGATGATGCAGCGCTGACGTGGAAGACTGACAGCATGATGTATGAGAGGCCATGCCCATTCATAGAGCAGCGCGCCTCCCGGTGCGTGGATGTCCTGACGATGCCCTGGCCGAAGGGTTCGAGCAATGAGATGCCAACGTACGGGTTCGTGATGCTGCTTCTGCAGGGACGCGACCAAGTCGAACACCGCCACGGACACGTTGCGCAGGCAACGGGGTTCTGAGCCCGCAGCTGGCTTACACTTCAGAATTGGCCCGCCAGTGGACATCCAGATGCATTGCGGCGGGGTTCCTCGACCTGTCTGGGCCGCCACGTCCTCGACCTGGTAGATGCGGGCCAAATCCTGATCGACGAAGGACATGAAGCTGGAGTAGAGGTCGTCGATCCGCTGCTGCGCCTGATGAAGACTACGTGGAGCCCCACGACCTGCATCATGCCGCACCACGTCAGGGCACGGCTGGGAGGGGCGGCGCGCCGAGCACTGGTGCAGCGCCAGCGCACCGAGGAGCATGCCTGGGAAAAGGCCTCGGGGCCTTCAAATGAAGCTGGAGCTGGGACCTGGGCTTCGCGCCCAAGTCGAGACGCAGGGTTGCGCGGGCGCGGGGTCCACGAGTCCAGGATGTGGGGCTCTCCACAAGTCTTCACGAAGTCGGGCGAGACGAGCCACTTAACGATGGTCCGATAGGTGCCCGAGACTGGTGATCGGCACGTTCTCTTCGGGCCGGTGGCAACCGCCGCGGCTGGCATGACCTGCAAGAAGCCGTAGTCCTCGAGGTCGCGGGGCTCCGCGTTCCAACCCCCGGCAAAGACGAACGGCACGGAGAAATAGCGCATGGCCTCAGCGATGCGCATGAGCTTCTGGTAGTTGGTAGTGAGGTAGTCCGCCTGGGCCACTGACTCCGCGCACGCGGATCCCACGCTGAAGCCCCCTCGAAGTCCCGCTTGTACGTGCACTGCTACCGCCCAGGAGCGGAAGATCTCCAAATCGTCATGAACGCCCCCTTGACCACTCAGCAGAGTAGTGTGCACATGCGCTCTGACAAAGATTCCAACCCCTGCGCTCGGTAGACCTGTCTCCTATTTGCGACACTGACTGATGGTTGCCACCCGCGTTGTCTAACCCACGTTTGTGCTCGGTCCAGGGCTTCGAGGTCTCTCTTCGGGGATCTCCTGACCCGGGTCACTCCAGACCCGGGTCAGCAGGAAACCAAAAACTGCAATGCAGGAAAAAACTGCAACGCAGGTCTTGGCAAACCCGGGTCAGCCAATATGCGCGGCCGCCTCGCAGCCACGAGCGGTTCGCTGCCCCGCGTCAGCCAGGAGGGGGTCTTCGCAGGATCCTGCAGGATCCGGTGCCCTGGCTGACCCCCGTTTGCATTGACCCCCGTCTCTTGAACCCCGATCTCTTACGTGGACACGACTTCGGGCGCGCCGGCGGCGAACCGCACATGCTTGAAGCATTATGACTTGCCGCCCGTCCAATTCCTCAACCCGCCGGGCCGCAGCGTCGACGACAAGAAAGTCCATGTTGACGAGCAGGCGTCCCCGCGCGATGTGCACCGCGTCCCATTCCCGCGACGCGATTCGCAGCGCCGACGAGGAGAAAGTACATGCTGGCAAGAAAAACGTCGACGTTGCAATGTTTTTTTTTTGCCAGGTAGGACGGGGGGTCCCGCGTAGGGTTGGCCAGGCGTCCGCGCGCGATGTGCACCGCGTCCCATTCCCGCGACGCGATTCGCAGCGCCGACGAGGAGAAAGTACATGCTGGCAAGAAAAACGTCGACGTTGCAGTGTTTTTTTTTGCCAGGTAGGACGGGGGGTCCCGCGTAGGGTTGGCCAGGCGTCAGCGCGCGATGTGCGCCGCGTCCCATTCCTGCTACACTTGTCGCAGCCTCGACGACAAGACAGTTTATGTTGTCGTGAAAAACTGTGACTTTGTAGTGTTTTTTGAAAGGTAGGACGCAACCACCCACTCAGGGCCCCCAAGCGATGTTCATTCCGCCCCATTCCTGCTACACGTCTCGCAACTCGGCGACATGTTGGCGAGAAAAACATGAGTTTGAGTTGTTTTTCGACAATTAGGACGGCGGGGTTGCTATCGGCCGGCTTTGGTGGGAGTTTGGGGGCGTTCAATCATAAGAAGAAAGGATGAGGGATGAGGACGACGAGGGAGAGGAGGAGGACTGCAGGCACGAGGAAGGAGGAGGAGGAGGAGGAGGAGGAAGAGGTGGTGGTGGTGGTGGTGGTGGTGGTGGTGGTGGTGGTGGTGGTGGTGGTGGTGGTGGTGGTGGTGGTGGTGGTGGTGGTGGGGTGGTGGTGGTGGTGGTGGTGGTGGTGTGGGTGGTGGTGCGTGGTTTGTGGTGGTGGTGGTGGTGGTGGTGGTGGTGGTGGTGGTGGTGGTGGTGGTGGTGGTGGTGGTGGTGGTGGTGGTGGTGGTTGTGGTGGTGGTGGTGGCGGCGGTGGTGGTGGTATATTTCTGGGCCCCATGGCCTCGTCGATCGCCGCGCCCAGCCATGCCAACACGCGCGCCTGCGAGAAGCGGCTCGCCTCAAGACGAAGCCGGGAGGAGGATAGATTCGGGTGAGGATAAATCGAGAACCTCTGAAATCCGCCGGCTCCGCAGGGTGTCTCGGGCGTCGCGGCCTCCTCAGAGCGCTCCTGAGCGCTCTGAGAGCGCTCCGAAGCGCTCTGGAACGGACTCATCCTCGTCCCAGCCCCGCCCGACGCCTTCAGGCATGAGAGCAGCATGGCGTTCGACTCCACCTGTCGGGAGGCAAGTCCTGGGAGGTCTCCGTCGGAACGATTGGGAGCCATGAAGCCCGATGGAGGGCCCACTGAGACGGATTAGACCGGATTCAGCCCAGGACTTACTGGGAACAAGCGGGATTGAGTGAAATCGCGCGGGATTAAGCCAGCTGAAGCGGGATTGAGCCAGGTAGGCCAGTCTCCCACCAGAGATACACCAGCGCCGATTCTGAACTTTGGACGACCGACAAGGGTACGAAAAGATTGGCACAATGCCCAACAACACATGTTGTCCAAAACGACAGCGGCCGCTGTTGGGCAGGCGGCACTTTGTCTTCCAAGAGCAACGTCCGACGCGGCGCGGCCAGCAAGGCCTTTTCAAAAAAAGCAGGGGCCGCTGTGGGGCATCGTACCCATCCTTTCCGTGCCCATCTCGATCGCCCCGATGAATGTCACCTCCCAGGAACCCAACAAGGGGGCCCAGCGAAAAGGGAGTGGCGCAATTGATCTGGTGCAATAGATGTGCGGGGTTGAGGTAGAGTTAGGGTGTACAATACATTCCGGTGCGCAAATGTATTGCTGGGCCTCCGCGTGCAATCTACGAGGTGCAAAAAGTTGCAATACAATTCTCTGGCGCAATACATTTGCAAACCTCTGGCGCAATACAACTCTCTGGCGCGACACAAGTCTCTCTGCCCCAAAACGATTGCCCCCCAACTCGGGGATCTTCTGACCCGGGTCAATCCAAACCTGGGTCAATCATGCGATGCAGGATCCTGCAAGTTCCTGCAGGACTCTGCAGGACCATGCGCCCAAGCCCAAGTCAGCGCGTCCTGGCTCTGCAGGATCCTGCAAAATCCAGCGCTCCGACTGACCCCCGTTTGCATTGACACCGTCTCTCGAGCCCCGACGAGCGAAAGGAGGGGGGAGGCAGGGAGAGAGGGAGGGAGATAGGGAGGAGGAGAAGGAGGAGGAAGCGGAGGAGGAATTGGGGAAAGGAGGAGGAGGAGGAGCAGGAGGAGGAGGAGAAGGAGAAGGAGAAGGAGGAGGGGCCCCGACCAGCACCTGCATCGCCTCCAGCGGCAGCCGCGCCTGGCTCAGCCGTTGCAAGAGCGCGGGCAGCGACTCGCGCACGAGGCCGGCGGCCGGGGAGAGGGCCCGGCTCCTCCGAGCTGGGCCCGGGGGCACACTTGTTGCGCCGGCGGCTGTGCAGAGGGCGACTGCTCCGGCGCTGTATGCAAATTAGAGCCGCAATGCGCGGATGGTGGAGGAGGAGGAGGAGGAGGAGGAGGAGGAGGAGGAGGAGGAGGGAGGAGTGAGGGAGGAGGGGGAGGAGAGGAGGCAGGAAGGGCAAAGAAAGAGGGAGGGGGGGTGGAGATGGAGGAGGAGGAGGAGGAGGGGAGGAGTAGTGGGTGAGGAGAGGAAGGAGGAGGAGGAGAAGAGGAGGGGAAGAAAAGAAGGGGAGGAGGAGGTAGGATGGAGGAGGAGTAGGGGGAACGGAAGGAGAACGGGAACGGGAACGGGAAGGGGGGGGGGGACGGGAACTGGGAACGGGAGGGGAGAGGGGGAGGGGTGAGGGGCAGGGGGAAGGGGGAGGGGGAGGAGGACGAGGAGCAGGAGCAGGAGCAGGAGCAGCAGGAGGAGGGAGCCCCGGCGCGACAAGCCGGGCCACTCAGAGCTGCCGGCAGGGGCGGGGGGAGCGCCGAGGGGGGGGCGGCCAGCGCCAGCACGGAGCTGGGCCCAGAGAGACACACGGGCAAATACACACAGATCCCAGGATCCCCCATATTATAAGTTTCCATATGCTGTTGACTGTCGCTTTCCCCGCCACTTCTCATGTGTTCCCATACCTTCTGGGGGGTCGACGACGAATGTTGAAGGCCTGGAAATGGGCACCAATACCAACACGGGGGGTCGCCACCAAAGGGGGAAGATGATCCCAGATGTCGGTGTTGGTGGTAATAGTTCGGCCACCTTGGAAGCCAGAATATTACCACCATCACCGAGATCGGGATCGTCTTCCCTCGGTGGGGGCACATCGCCGAAATTGGTGTTGGTGTCAATCTCTAGGCCTGCGAGAATGGTGCCTGTGCGCTGTTTCCCCTCCCGATATCCTCACGGACTGCGGCCCGAGGTGGAAGTCCAGGGGCGACGGCGCCAGGAAG